CTGAAATACAGATTCGCTCACAAAGAATTAAATAGAATAAATAAGAAAAAGCAATCTAACACAAATAGCCAGCAGAAGGAAATACTGCTTCCCGCAGCATATTATTAACCTGTAGAAATCATTGCCATCGGATGAAGTCAAACCCAAAAGCACAGCAAACGTCAAAGCAGAGATTGAAGAGTATTTCTGAAAGATTCTGAAAAGACTTTAGAAAGGCTATAAAGCTCCCTGTTTCAAGATTAAACCATGAATTAATTATTAAGGGTAAACAGAAGAGCTTGACAATGGTGACAATAGGGTTGAATGTTTATGGGTAAGAATCAGGGGGAAGGCCAACAAGGCAGGTATCATGGTGGGATGCTGTTATAGACCAACCAACCAGAATGAAGACACAGATGAAATATTCTATAAGCAGCTGGGATAAGTCTCACAATCACTAGACCTTGTTCTCCTGCGGGACTTCAACTTACCAGACGTCTGCTGGAAATACAATACATCAGAAACAGTCCAGGAGGTTCTTGGAGTGTCTGGACAATAACTTCCTGACATGGCTGGTGAGTGAGCCAACTAGGGAAGGGGCCCTGCTGGACTCGTTGTTTGAGAGCAGAGAAGGACTTGTGGGTGATGTGACAGTTGGAGGCCATCTTGGGCATAGTGATCATGAAATGGTAGAGTTTTTGATTCTTGGAGAGGTAAGGAAGGGGGTCAGCAGAACTGCCACCTTGGACTTCCGGAAGGCAGACTTTGACCTGTTTAGGATCCTGGTTGGCAGAGTCGCTTGGGAGGCAGGTCTGAAGGGCAAAGGAGTCCAGGAAGGCTGGACACTCTGCAATAAGGAAAACTTAAAGGCGCGGGAGCAGGCTGGAAGACAAGTTGGTGGGGAAGAAGACCAGCCTGGCTAAACAGAGAGCTTTGGCTGGAACTCAGGAAAAAGAGGAGGGTTTATGGTCTTTGGAAGAAGGGGCAGGCAACTCAGGGGGACTACAAGGATGTCGTGAAGTTATGCAGGGAGAAAATTAGAAGGGCCAAAGCCCAACTAGAACTTAATCTAGCTACTGCTGTAAAAGACAATAGAAATGTTTCTATAAATACATTAGCAACAAAAGGAGGGCTAAGGAGAATCTCCATCCTTTGTTGGATGTGGAGGGCAACATAGTGACAAAGGATGAGGAAAAGGCTGAGGTACTTAATGCCTCCTTTGCCTCAGTCTTTAGCAGTAAGACTAGTTGTGCTCTGGATACCCAGCCCCTGAGCTGGAAGACAGGGACAGGGAGCAGAATGAAGCCCCCATAATCCAAGCGGAAATGGTTAGTGACCTGCTACACCACTTAGACACACACAAGTCTATGTGGCTGGATGGGATCCACTCAAGGGTACTGAGGGAGCTGGCGAAGGTGCTCACGAAGCCATTTTACATCATTTATCAGCAGTCCTGGCTAACTGGGGAGGTGCCAGTTGACTGGAGGTTAGCAAACGTGACACACATCTACAAGAAGGGCTGGAAGGAGGAACCGGGGAACTACAAGCCTGTCAGTCTGACCTCGGTGCCAGGGAAGGTTATGGAGCAGATCATCTTGACTGCCATCACATGGCACGTACTGGACAAGCAGGTGATCAGGCCCAGTCAGCATAGGTTTATGAAAGGCAGGTCCTGCTTGACTAACCTGAACTCCTTCTATGACAAGGTGAACCACTCACTGGAAGAGGGAAAGCCTGTAGATGTTGTCTACCTGGACTTCAGTAAAGGCTTTGACACCATTTCCAACAGCATTCTCCGGGAGAAACTGGCTGCTTACAGCTTGGACGGGCATACGTTTGTTGGGTAAAAAAACTGGCTGGTTGGCTGGGCCCAAAGAGTTGTGATGAATGGAGTTACATCCAGTTGGTGGCTGGTCACAAATGGTGTTCCCCAGGGCTCAGTACTGGGGCCAGTTCTCTTTAATATCTTTATCAATGATCTGGACAAGGGGATCAAGTGCACCCTCAGTAAGTTTGCAGATGACACCAAGTTGGGTGGGAGTGTTGATCTGCTTGAGGGTCGGAAGGCTCTACAGAGGGATCTGGACAGGCTGGATCAATGGGCCGAGGCCAACTGTATGAGGTTCAACAAGGCCACGTGCCAGGTCCTGCACTTGCATCACAACAACCCCATGCAACACTACAGGCTTGGGGAAGAGTGGCTGGAAAGCTGCCTGGAGGAAAAAGACCTGGGGGTGTTGGTCAATAGCTGGCTGAATATGAGCCAGCAGTGTGCCCAGGTGGCCAAGAAGGCCACCACCATCCTGGCTTGTATCAGAAACAGTGTGCCCAGCAGGGCCAGGGAAGTGATCATCCCCCTGTACTCAGCACTGGTGAGGCCACACCTCGAGTCCTGTGTTCAGTTTTGGGCCCCTCACTACCAGAAAGACATTGAGGTGCTGGAGCGTGTCCAAAGAAGAGCAACAAAGCTGGTGAAGGGTCTAGAGCACAAGTTCTGTGAGGAGCGGCTGAGGGAACTGGGGTTGTTTAGCCTGGAGAGAAGGAGGTTGAGGGGAGACCTTATCGCTCTCTACAACTACCTGAAAGGATGTTGTAGCCAGGTGGGTGTTGGTCTCTTCTCCCAAATAACAAGCAATAGGACAAGAGGTAATGGCCTCAAGTTGCACCAGGGAAGGTTTAGACTGGATGTTAGGCAAAATTTCTTTACCGAAAGGGTTGTCAAGTACTAGAACAGGCTGCCCGGAGAAGTGGTTGAGTCACCATCCCTGGAGGTATTTAAAAGATGTGTAGATGTGGTGCTTAGGGACATGGTTTAGTGGTGGACTTGGCAGTGTTAAGTTAATGGTTGGACTTGATGATCTTAAAGGTCTTTTCCAACCTAAACGATTCTATGATTCTATGACAAGGGAAGGGACAGATTCTCTCCCATCCATAGTCCCTTCAACCCTTTTCAGCAACATCCACGGCTAGTCACACTAAAAGCCAGAATACAGTCAGACAGACTAGGCACAGAACTGGGAATGGTATTGGTATATTTATCTTCCCTTGTAAAAATAAAAATTAAGAAATGCTTGCAGAATTTCTCTTTCAAGATCTTTCTACTTTCCTGGTGCTTTTTCGATTCAGAAAAAAAAGCTTGTTGACACAAGGAAAGCTGTAAACTCTGCAGCCATAACTTACTTCCAGGTTTGGAGGGGGCTTCAGCTTCCCCATTGCTTTCATTGTTAATGTTTTAATCTCATATTAGAAATGTAGTGCAAATGAAAACCTGACACATACCCCAAAATTACATTTAAAAATGAGAAACAAATTATACTGTTATTTGTAAATATGATTTTCTATATTGACTGCGAAAAATTATTCTGAAGAGCTCTTTATTAGATTTCAACAATCAAAATAACAATTCTAGCTGTCCATAAGACACACTTCCTGTGAAAGCAGGCACCTTGCAGATCCCAATCACTCAATTTTTAAAATTTCTTGAAAAGAACAGAATTTTTATTTTTGTTGTAATATTGCCTGGACTTCACAGTTTAGCACCATGTCCTCATTTCCTCTGTTGTGCAAACACACGTGGCAGTATTTTGAAAATGTCTGTCTCTAAAAGACCACTGAGGAAGCCTCACAGACAGAGAAAAACACAGAGGGAACAATTGCAAAGATTTATTTAGCGCATTCTGTGCTTGGCACTTAGAAACAGAGTTCCGTGCATAGGGCAAATCTTTATACACCTTTTTCTTCTTACATATTTTACATACCATTTTTATTGCCCTCTTTTATATTCATAATATTGAATACCCCACTAGGCATATAAATACATTTATCTACAACACCTCACAACAAATCTCAATATCTGTATTCTGTTACTTGGTATTTGCATTTTCACACAACTTAAATGCATAGCTTGCACCAAGCTACAATTGTTTTCTTATTTTTAAAGGATTTGAAGAAAAAAAAAAAAAGAGAGAGAAGAAAAAAACAGAAAAGAAAGATGTCAAAAGGCAACGATCTATTTGGTTAAACAGAGATCATGTGGCAGGCGGGAGGTTGGCGAATACTCGACCTCACTGTTACTGAAATGCTAATGGTTTTCTATGGCAACTCTTGCATGCAAGGTGGGGGAGGCTTGGCCGCACTTCTGTAGAGCAGGGCTCTTTTCTCATTGCTCTTCCCCGTGAGCTCAGTCTGGAGAGTTTCCTCCCATTGGGTTGAGTGCTACGGGACACACGTTCCCCACAAAGGCTGTCTGTTCAGTTTGGGCGCATCACTTCGGATCACGTCAACAGGAGGCGAGCCCCCTCTCCCCCACACATCTTTATGAAGATCAGTCCCTGCTAATGTCTGAGGCTCACCTGTGGGATACAATTTTTCTCTCTCTCCCATCTCTGTCTGCAGGCTGGGTGCTGGTAAGCTCAACCCTCACAAAGAAACCACCAGTCAGGTAGAGCTGTGGTGAAAACGCAGAAACCTCTTTGGGAGGAGAAGCTCCAGGCCAGCAGCACCATTCCTGTGCTACAGTGGGAGAAGGAGCCACGGGCCGC